CTGGCGTAGCTCTTCTTGTTTCGAATGCATGGTACGTGGATGACATCTTTAGCATTGTCAAAAGGGAAGATTTATCAAAAACTTTGGAGGCCATAAGCAACGTTCACAAGGACATCAAATTTACTCACGAAGAAGAGAGAGACGACAAACTCCCCGTCTTAGATCTTCTCATCATCAGGGAAACGTCATCGTTCAATTTCGAAATCTATAGGAAACCAACACACACAAAGAGAGTAACAAGCACTTCAAACCATTCCCATCAACACAAAATGGCCGCTTTTCACCACATGGTTCACAGGATGCAAACTCTTCCTCTTAGCGATACAGGCAAATCAAAGGAAATAGCTTACATTTTTGAAATCGCTAGACTTAATGGGTATCAAGAAAAAAAACCATTCAAGTAGTAATCGATAAAAGAACAAGGGATCATTTTAGGCGTATTTCGACAACTCTTACACCAGTAACTGAGGGTTTAAAACGGGTAGCGGTGAATTTCCTCAAAAACATTACCAAACCATTGATTTCAAAGTTTAGAAGTTTTGGCCTAGATTTAGTATTCAGCAGCAGGACAAATCAGCTGAAGTCACTGTTAGGATCAACAAAAGATTCAATAAATGTCTTAGGGAAAACCGGAGTCTACACAATCTGTTGTCAAGATTGCAATAAAATCTACATTGGTCAGACGAAAAGGACTTTGAAAACAAGATTTAAGGAACACATCGCAGAGGTAAAAAAAGGCTAACAAAGAGATGGATAAAGGACTTCATTATGAATTTAAATCCAAGGTTGCAGAACATATCGTTACAAAGGGGCACAATTTGACATTGCTTAATAGAGATCAAGGAAACGGATACTCGAGACTCTTTAGCATGCTACCTAAAACCACACATCGTAGCATGCACCTACCTGTTGGAGACTAATTTGTTTACCTGGTTAGGTAAATTTTGACATGGCAGTGGATACCTGCTGATTTTTAGTACCTATTGATTAGTATATAACTCGTAGATAAAAGATGGATTCTTCAGTGGTGTTGAGTACTTGGCACTGATGAAGTCTGCAAGTAGTAGACGAAATACGCGTATCTGTCAAAAGATCAGCAATTATAACGGAATTTAAAGGAAATAAACCAACCCACTCAAAGCTCTTCATAAAGGGATTCCGTTAAGAGGTTCGACAAATTTAAAGGATTTATTTAAATTGGTCCAGGGGCAGCTGAGTTATGAACGTTCAAAATCTTCCATAATTTTGTTACATGTTCCATTTTCGGTTTTCACAAAGCGTACCCCCAAAAGTGTAAATCACAGACGTAGTCCTACGTAAAAAAAATTTGAGGGATTCGAAGTTAAAATGTTCTGATCGCGAAATATTCGTGATCAATTTCGTAATTTCGCATAAAATAGGTGCAAAATTATGCACCCCATTTTTGTGTGTGCTTTTTTAGCGTTCTGAAGAAAACCCTATCTTAACTACCTCGAAAATGTACTCAAAACTACTTTGCAGGATTTTATTAGAATATTCTCAATAATTTACTTTGGAATCATTTCTAGATTCTAGAGATCTTCTAAAATAAGTTCTTCATAGAGATCTTCTAAAATAAGTTTAAGGCTCTCTGGGAGTCCCTAAAAAGTGTATCTATAATAGAACAATCCAAAAAAAAGCATGAAATTCATCCCTAAATTTTCAGGCTTGCCAGCGAACCGGGAAAATCATAAAAACCGGGAATTTGAGAAGAAGCCGGGAAAAGCCAGGAATTTGAAGATAGAACCGGGAAATTCTATAAACCTTAACATATTCCAACAAAAATTAAAAGTTGAATAACAGCTTGAGGTTAATCAAGAAAACATGTAATTCTTCAGCTCAAAAATGGTTTTAATTATCTTAAACCTTTGAAATTATTTGACCATTTGCAAAACTCTCCTCAGAAATCCTTTGGAATTCTAATCAGAATACATTGGAATTATGCTGATGCTTGATTTTCGTGAAAATTTCTTAAGAATTCAATTTAAATTTTTCAGCATTTTTCTTTATTTACCTCCAAACACGATTCCTTCGGCATTTTTCTTGAATTTTGCTTTGAAAATATTATCAGAAAACCCTTTCAATTCTGTTTATATTCCTTTTACAATTCTACTTAAAATTCACCTGCATACAATTCTCTTCAGAATCACCGAGGAATTCTCCTTGAAGTTCTCCCCACACCTCCTTTGTAATTTTTCTAAGAGTTCGTCAGGACTTAATTCTAGAATTTATTTAGGATTCTTGTTAGAGCTCATTTGAAATTGTCATCGAATTCTTCTCAGAATTTTTAATTTTCAAAATTCTAAATTTTTTTTTTTACCCTGATCATTTTGCAAAAACGCTTATTTTGGCATTCTGAACAAACGCTTTATTTTTATTTTACTCTAAAATGCCTAGATCCCTCTTGGTTGCAACCTTGGATTTTCGAGATTTTTGAAAATTTCAACTTTCAGAAGAGATTACTCCTCCACCAAATATGCTATTCGTGATCTTAGAACGTTTTTAATGTAGATTCTTATAGTTGTACCCACATTTTGTTTTTGTTATAGTAACTACAGTAAACAGGCTGATTACTGGCAGGTATCCAAATTGTCAAAAAATGTCCTATTTTCACTATGGGCGGGATTTTTTATTTCTTAATATTTTGGGCTCAAACTTGCACCACACTTTGGAAAACTCTTCTACTTGACGTGTTTCCAAGGGTAGTTTTGAGCTTTTCTGGTGGAAAATCAATACTATTTACAATCACCCCTATTCTGTATTTCGTTTCGAACGAAATTCTCATACAAAAAAATATTTTTTTGTATGAGAATTTCGTTCGAAACGAAATACAGAATAGGGGTGAATATCTTATTTTTTCTTGAATTCCTTCAGGCCGATGGCACAATAATATTTTTATGTTATTTTTCACATGTTCTGGGCAGGATTCTCATTATATGAAATCGTAACTAGCTCATATATTTACTTCTGTCCATGATATAATTGTGGTCCTAAAAGTGAAAAATACGTTCCTACGGGATACACACATTGTGCTAGATTAGCAGGTATATACAATTTCAGTTGTGGATGACAGCTGCTACTTGAATAATACCCTTATTTGAGTAATTAATTTATTTTTTTATCCAATTTCTGGGACATAGAATTTCATTTTCCTGAGTTTAAAAAACTTCAAGATTGCGATCTTGAAAAGTTCATTTTTTTTGTATTTCTGTGAATATGTCATTTTTACTTTTAATCGGGGGGCAAGTGAGAGTACAGTAATGACCCGATTTGGTCAGCCCCTTTTTGATCATTATTTCTAATGTTCTTGAAGATGAGTAGATTTGGAGATGTGTGGAGGTGCTGACAAAACCGTGTCATTACTGTATTATAAAATAGGATAATCCAAATATAAATCCCTCCTTGTCTCATCGCATTCAGCAATAAATCCCGTGTCATAACAATTTCCAACTTCTGACAACTGATTCATCGGAAGTTTTCACGTAATCCCTGCTCGAGTTAATCCATTCGATTTTCAACTGTGCAGCTGTTAATCACTGGGGGCTAATTAGATTACCGAACGAACATGGACAGATTACTTGCCGCCATAACCGGGCGACCATTACTAATCGCAATCTTGTACCACAACCATCAACCAAGCTGCAGATCTGCAACTCAAACCGATAAAATTTAGGTCAAAGTTCTGTTCACCCATTCACGCCCTGCAGCATATTACCGTTTGAGATTGGTGCAGCTGCCTCATAAATACTTGCCTGCATGCCATGCACTAATTGCCTTGCGTGTGCGTTCTTTCCAAAACTGAGCCATAGAGATGGCAGAACTCGATAGCTCCTGCCAAACTGCTGCACCACGAGAACGTCCCATTTCCGTTCCGCCAAAGTTCGCGCGAAAATGCGCAGTTTTGCCCGAGAGATGCAATCTTGTCTAGCTATACTGAATATCGCGGTGGCAGTGCACTTGCACTTGCAACCGGTTGCGAAAGTTTTTCGCTCAGCTTCTCAATCCGATCGCCGGTGAGTGTATTTGGCTGTAGCAGACCTGTGAGTTGAACCTATGTCACCCCGCCCGCAGTCGGTTGGTCGACGGTTGGAGAAGTGCAGTTATACCTATTACTGTGAGTGAGTGTAACCAGAAACCGGTTTGCGGCCTCCTCGCTGCCACCGACCGACCCAAGTTCCAAGTCCAAGTCTACTATAGCACGTTGTCGTCAGTCGTCGGTCGCCGTATCGTAGCGGTGTCAGGCAGGTTTTTAGTTTTGCTGCACTGATGGGTACGTCCCAGACAGTACATACTGTTTTGCGGCGTCGGTGGTGGGCGGGTGCCGTTGCAGTTTTAATTTATTTCCACTATACAGATGTAGGGTGTACAATTGAAGAATCCTATTTTAATGCTTTTGGTTTGGTTTGGTTTGAATTGTCGATGGATTTGAGGATGAATGCAAACACTATTTAATCGACACATCCAACTTCTGACACACCGTGCTGACTGGAGTACGCACTATTGGAGAGTCATCATTATTGTTGCCTACTACGACGTCTCGTTTCGAAGTGAGGTAAAATTTGCATACGAATCGTACCTCGCACATCAATCGCATCGATTAGGTGGAAAATACTCAGTATAGTCCACCGCAGTCGGTACGCAATAAGGGATCGATTCACCTCGAGTTCGCATTGTACATTCTCTTCGCACTTTTAATTTAGCATCTTGTGCTCAATTCTGTGATTGGAATGATTTAGCATGACTTTGCTGGGATCCAATCCAATCGCTAAGAAGAGGCAAATCCGATCGAGGTGGCAAGGGTCATTGAGACGTATTTAGGCCGCACCCAAGAAGAGGTTAATGGGGTATGAAATCAGCGTCTGAAATAAATGGCGTTTCTTTGCTATGAGATACTTGAATGCTGAGCTAATGAGTAGCTGATACCGAATTGGCAATAATCGATTAACGGGTTTTTTTTCTTTGTCTCCATCTTCCATCCATAGTGCATGACGGCGTACATCGAGTTCGAGATCTCGGAAGGTGCCTACGAGGTGTCGTGCCCGGATGCGATGTGTCCCGCCCAGGGTATCATCACGATCGGCGAGATAACGACGCTGGCATCGGCCTCACTGGTGGAGAAACACCACCGTTATCGACTGAATAGAGGTGAGTTCTGGGTTTAATCAGGTTAAGTAGCTGGTCGGTGATAAGGGTGTTTGAGATGCTTTGTATTTCTTAATTAATTTTGATTTATTGTTTAGTGGCTTTAGAGGTCAACCATATCTAGCGGTCTTAGGGTTACCTCCAGAGCTATGAGTTAAATTCAGTCTCTTAATTCCGAACTTTGAAAGTTAAAAGGCTGATGAGGTAACTTTAGAAACCCCATCAGTCAACTAGATGCATTTCGATTCAACTTCAGCGGTCTTAAGGATTTGTTTCAGACATATTTAGGGTCAATTCTGGAGGCTTTGTGGATTAAGGTGATACGATACGTCACGCTTTTTTTGCTTTTTTTTTCTCTCCTTTCTATGTGTCAGTGAATTGATTATCATTGATGCTGTAGTGGTGTGAGTGTCCATCATGCACTACCGCAACTACCGTAAACATAGCCGCTAGAGTTCGTTATTATTAGGTCGAATGTGTAACAGTTGATGAAAAAAAAATAGAAAGGTAAAGAATAACTTATGCCCATCTTACTGTAAATTTCAACCTTCGTCCTTTTTAAAATGATAAAGATATCTCTTTATCATCCAATATTGAGACTATCACTACATTTCTATTCAAGTTACCAATATTATCGACCTACCACCTCCCAGGATACCCCTTCCTATACAGAAAATAATTATGCGCCTAGCCACCAAGACCAACATGTCATGTCATCATAGTAGTTAATTGATTCAACATCACAATTTGTACACTTTGGTTACATACGACCTGTCCAAAAGTGATTCCAGAGCTCAAACCTCCAGGTACACGGTAAGAAAAAATATCACAAAGTGACTCATTTTCACAAATCTCGGCACTATATTGCATTACCAAAAGTAGGTAATGTGGGTCGAAGAGCTTTCATTTGATTGCGTTCAATTAGTGTGGAATTGACAATTCGCTTCTACCCAGAAAATAGTTAGTTGTACCCAAAAGTAGGTGAATATGATTATACTCAAAGTCAAAAGTAGGCAAAAATGAACTGGCCGCTGGATATTTTTTATTATGGTGTATGTTTTTGTTTTCGAATCATCCTTTTGCCGCCTTTTGCATATCAACTGATGGCTTCGAGCAGTGCAACCAGAGCGCCACATATGTTTTCTATAGAAGATGTCTAGGTTCATTTACTTTCATTTTTAGTCTTGAGAAACAAAATAAGAAATTGTTTTAAACATTTATTAGTGATGGTTTCAATTTAACACACTTTAAGCACCTTAAAAAGCAATAAAAGCACACAAAGTGTTTACACACTTTGTTCCAATTAAATCGACAACACTGGATATGATGATAGATGATTCGTACACACACCTTCGTAATGTGGTGTGTAGAAAAAAGATAAACAAAACAGTTTCAGCTTGCAAAATTATTCGCGGTTCGCGTTTTTAACGATGCAAATGATATTATTTAAGTAAATGTCGTCTTTAAAAGTGAATTAACTTGAAAGTGCTTGTAGAAGCACGTGTCGTAATTGTTTTTAGTGTGGTTCTGAGAAGTTAAAGCTAGTGAAAATAGTTATTGAAATTTCATGCCCTGAGCAGAACAAAATCGGCTAATCGTACTTTTTAATGCAAATATTACCAATGCGTGAATGAATTGGCAATATTTTCGTGGAAAGTATTAAAATATGTATCCAGATCTTATTCATACAATTCAGGTCCATTTTTAAGGCATGTAATTAGTAATTTACTGTTTTGTAGGAAGATGTCTTTTGTACGCATACCAAAACACGTTTATTTAATGATTGTAGGGACAGCCATTGTTGCATGACGTGCCGTATCACCTTAAGTTCAAAGCTCTTGAAAGATTAGATGATTTTATAGATGAGCAGTGCGAAATGACGAATCGATCAGATGTGACCTTCTCCGATTTGCTTGAAAAAAACTTCAAAATGGTGTATTCGAGATTTTTCAACAAATCATAACTTGTAAACATCAAGATGACGTCTGAGACAACGTTGTAGGGAAAAAAATACACGGTAAAAAAAATTCAAATAAATTTGGGTAAAAATAAAAAAAAGTGTTTAAAACTTAAAAAACAAAAAAATACCTTCAATATTTTTAAATATTTCTTCATTAAAATGCTTGAAGAAAATGTAACCTTCTGTAAAAACTTCAAGTTGGGCACCTTAAAATTTACAAAAAGCTTGAATAACAACTTTCTGACAAATAGGGGAAATGGATGTAATGTCGGCCTAAATGCCCCTAATTTGGCGCGTTTGATTGATTGACGCGTTCATCTAGATTAAATTGATAAATAGCAGATTTTTAGCGATGAGTCCAGTCTTAGATCCATAGGCCAACATTAGAGCCATATCCCCTATTTATTATATAGGAAATAAACAGTTTTTTTTTCGATTTTTTACCGAAAAGAACTTGAAATGTTTTACCGTGTGTATATTTTCCGGAAACCAATATTATTTTTCCTACAACTTCGTCTCAGACGTCATTGTGAATAAAAGGAGCGTTTTCGAGTTATGATTTGTTGAAAAACCTCGAATACACCATTTTGAAGTTTTTTGAAGTTCGTAAAAAGATCCTGCAGTTTTCCCGAAACTAATGGAACCGTCTTAAACATCTTGATGCTTCTCTGAAGTTCCCAAAACATTACAAAAGTTTTCGGAATTTCCCTTAAGGGAGCGATGCATCAATTATGTCACGCTAAATTTAGGAAAAATTGACACCCCGCCCCCCTTGCGTCACGTTTTCCTATACCTAATGCATTGCATGTCACAAAATCTAAAGCGTTCGGTTTCTATTTAAAGGCTCCAACCACGAGTTTGTGATTGTTCTCGTTTACCCGACGGCTTTTTTTCGGATCTTCGCACCGTGGAATTCGCGATTCCCAACCTTTTTCCAATGACACGATGCGACAGATCCTTATTCTTAAAGTACTCGTGCAAAACTTTCTCGCACACGCACTGTATTTTCGTCGCCATTTTGAAAACTTTTGCGCACCTAATGAAATCAACTCACAGAGTGTAAATAATACATATTAAACTATGCCTACGCCAAATTTCAATTAATTTTACCCAACGGATCAAAAGTTAGAGCAATTTGAGTGTGTATTTTAAACGGTACACCCTTTATACAACTTCCGTGAAGTTCTCGGCATTTTCTTTCATTCCTCGGAACTTTTTTAAAGTTCGTACAATTTTTGTGAAGAAAACGGGACTTAGGATCTCTTAGCTTTCACAAAGTTCACGGAACTTTCCCGTAGGTCTCGAAATCCTCCTGATTATGGTCCTTGAATTACCCTGAAATTAATGGACTGTCCAAAAGACCTTTAATATTTAGTTTTTTTTTTTTTACATTTAAATGATCTTTGTTTCTTGTATTTGTTTGGTTTACATGAATGGATTATCAAGTGACACAGATGCGTCTTTTCAACTTTAGTACATTTGAGATTTTACTTATTATTTACAGTTCCTAGTCCTATCAGGCCTGTTATAAGAGTATGACCACCTTGGTGGGATTGGTTTGTTTTGAATTTGAAAAAGGAGACTACTTATAACTACAATTAACCTGTAACTACTATATACACCTAACCTACTATATACAAATTGCTTATCAAAGCATGTTCTGATATATTGCATTTCTGCATAAACCTAGTCTAAATCTCATCAATTTTGAAATCTAATTTTGGAATTTTCGCCTCTTGGTGGAGGTCTGAAATTCTTGTGTCAAAGGGCAACCTGGATTTTGTTCCTGTGAGTCTAAGCACATGATTCCCACACCGGAGCTGCGTAGAGGATCGCAGGTGCTATGGTTTGTTTGTAGACAGCCAGTTTTTTCACCCTTGAGAGGCGGGATCTTGATTACGGTTTTCTCCACATGCGAGCGGAATAGGAGCTTTTCGTCAAACAACATCCCGAGATAGGTTACTTCGGCGGACCACTCAACCCTTGTGCCATCCATGATTACAGTACAAGAGGGAGCTGGTTTTAGTTTGGGAGATTTCCGATGGAGGAACATTATTGTTTGGGTTTGGTAAGCATTGATTTTCATTTTCCACATGGTGGCATAATCAGCAAAAGCGTCAAGGCATCGTTGAAGCTTGTTTGTTATTTCACGAGGCATCCTTCCCTTGACGGTTATAGCAGTATCATCTGCGAACAGAAATAACACGCAACCGTTACCCAAGGGAGGAATGTCGGAAGTGTAGATGCTGTATAGCAAAGGGCCCAACAGACTTCCTTGCGGAACACGGAAGTTACAAAGCTTATATACAAGCCCATTGTGCCAGACATTGTCAAACGCTTTTTCAACGTCTTACAATGACATGGCTGTAGACTTGGATACAGCCTTGTTACTTCGGATGTTATTCATCACCCGTACTAGCTGATGATTTGTGGAGTGCCCCTTCCTGAACCCGAACTGTTCCGGTAGGAGAATGTTTGCTCCTTGACAAACTTGAGCAAACGATTGAGAATAAGTTTCTCGAACAATTTGCTCAGCGCTGAAAGGAGGCTGATTGATCTGTAGCTTGAAGCTAGCGTTGGGTCCTTCCCGGGTTTGCGGATAGGTATGGTTTTCGCTGTCTTCCAGATACTTGGAAAGTAGTGCAGTTCCAAGCATATGTTGAAGACAGCAGCCAGCAGAGAGTGAACCTTCATGCTGAGATTTTTCAACACTAGGTTGAATATTCCGTCAAACCCGGGGGCCTTCATGTTTTTGGTGCATTTCAGCGCTGAGCAAATCTGTTCCACTGTGATTCTATCCTCCGGAGGGATGGCACAAGGGAAGGAATCAAGGTTGAGTACGCATTGCTCAACCTGAACTTCGAGCGGACTTTGGATGTTGAAGCCAAGCAAGTGCGATTTGGCAATATGCTCACCAATCGCATTTGCTTTCTCCTGAGGGGTGATTATGAGCCGATCGTCATCATTTTCATGTTTGACTGGAGGAATGGGTTTGGTCGTCCAGATTCTGGATGAGCCGCCCGAAACTTTCGTTCCGGAGTGA